CCCGAAAGACAGCCATCACCAGATGTTGCAAACCTGCATCTCTGTCCAGGGTAGATTTTTGCTCTCAGAGCCTGACAAAGTCATTTCATTAACCTTCACAATATCAAGAATATCTACTTTGCAGGATTCAATACTTTCACTATATGTCAGAGTGTTATTGAGATGTACTCTGTTGAACATTTCTCCAATTATTATCCCACTAGTGGCCTGGTCACGAATACATGCACATTGAAAGGAAATTAATTAGAAGAAATATTTTAATATTGCTATTTGTCCTTTCTCTATAATAGACGGGTCAACCAAATTCTCAATCAACAATGACAGATCGAAACATATGCGTGTGGTAGGCATCAGTGAGAGCTTTATACGTATTGTGCATGCATGAGTCAACTTAGCCTTTTATCCTATCTAATAAAGAGGGGAATATGCTAATTGACCCTCAGGCAGTCACCTACAGCCAATACGGAGGGAATATGCTAATTAACCACCCCACCTTCAAAGCTGGTGGGACCCTCAGCCAATAAGAAAGGAATATGCTAATTGACTGTCCCACCCTCAAAAGATGGTGGCACCTACAGCCAATAAAGAGGAAATATGCTAATTGACTATCACACCCTCAAAGATGGTGGTACCTATAGCCATAAGATGGTGGTGCCCAGTACCCTCAGCCCCGCTGGGCCGGCAGGCATGTGCCACCAGGCAGGCCTGGCCACTCCGCATGCCTGCCTCCAGAGTCCCCCAATCCCATCAGGCCCCCAGCCACCCAGGGTCAGCCCGAGGCATGGGCAAGCCTCAGATGTCAGGCTTCCCAGCCACCCAGGGCTGCCCTGAGGCATAAGCAAACCTCAGATGGTGGCTGCCCAGCCACCCAGGACCGCCCAAAGCTCAGGTAATCAGGGCCAGCTGAGGTTTGCTCTACCAGCAGTGGCAGCAGCAACCATGTGATGGGGCGTTACCTTCTCCTGATCGCCGGTCACCTCCCACTGCTGAGGGCTCCCAGACTATGAGAGGGGGCAGGCCGGGCTGAGGGACCCCTCTTCAGTGTATGAATTTTCATGCACTGGGCCTCTAGTATATATATAGAATAAATTTGCTTAATTAGACCTGCTTTCTGATTTAGCTATACTTTTTCTATCCCAGTGAAGCACCCCAACTTCTCTTTCAATTAATTGTCAGCAACACAGCAGTAAATATCAACAAGAAAGCAAATTATTATTGTAGATTACGCAGGGAGAACAAAGGGTAAAATATTTTAACTGTAGCAGTGTTTGTCTATACACTGTGCAGTGAGAAAACCTGAAATCATTTTCAAGGTCTACTACTTCTTTTTAGTCGGGTCAAGTTTCTAAGCTTTCTTAATCTTTATTTTCTGGCTAATGAAAATAAAATAGGATTTCACCAAGTCTCCTATCTACCTACTCCAGGACTTCTGTGAGGATCAAATGAGATGAGGCACGGAAAAATGCTTGACAGACATTTGGTTACAGTGTAAAAAGTTTCCACTTGGCTATAAAGCAACTTGTGTTCCCGGGCTGAAGAATCTCCAAGGAGACTAGTTGCTAGGGAGCGGAAGCCAGGCAGTGCCATGTGGCATCATTACCTAAGCCCACAGCGACTGTTTCTGGGCTAGGCTGGGCTATGGACCACATTTTGTGCCATGGGGTCTCCCCAGCTTTGGCTCCGATTTGGTTGGGTGTCACTCCAGGTTGGTGGCGGGGCCTGTGTCCCACTTGAGGGAAGCCAAGTGTTTGTTTGTCAGTGCCAGGTTTGTGGTGTTGGACAGTGCACATCATAGCAGCTCCTGCATTGAGCATTTGCCCCCTGGTGGTCAGTGTGCGTCATAGGGACCAGTCAGATGGTAGGAAGGACACATAGCATATTAGCCTTTTATACACAGTATATATAGATTATTGTCTTTGGGTTTTAATATTCCAATGTCATAAATATACAAGCATTTCTAACAACAACCCTTTTTAAGAGAAATGTAATGCATGCCACACATGTAATTTAAAAATTTTAGGAGCTACATTATAAAAGTAAAAAGAAACAGGAAAATTAATTTTGTATGTATTTTTATTTAACCCAGAGTATCAAAAATACTTCCATTTCAATATGTAATCATTTAAAAAATACTGAAATAGATTTTTTTTTATTAAATCTTGAAATCTGGTATATACTTTTTCACTTACTACACATCTTAATTAGGACTATGCAGTTTTTATTTTTTATTGTTTTAAACTCTCACCTGAGGGTATGTTCATTGATTTTCTTTGAGAGAGAGAGTGGGAGAGAGACAGACAGACAGACAAACAACCATTGGTTGCCTCCCATATACTCTGTGACGGGGGTCTTCACAACCTACCCATGTGCAACCAGGAATTAAACCCACAAGCTTTCTGTATAAGGACCCTACTCCAACTGGATGAGCCACACCAACCAGGATTAGATTATTCACAATTTAAGTTCTCAATAACCTTAATGTGACTAGCCTACTTGAGAGAACTCCCAATGGCAAAACTAGAAAAATTTGAACAACAAATAATAATACTGTTTGATTATAACCGAAGAAAATTTTAAATATCTATTGTCCATACTTACAGAAAAGTTTCAATTAGTAATGTAGGAGAAATGAAGGAGATTAAATCACCATTCCATTACCACAACAGTAATTGACACACACAAGATTCACTAATAAACACTAAAATTACTGATCAAAAGTTTAAAAAGAAAGATATCTTCATGGTCAAAATATCTCCCCCAAATCATGTATAAAGAAAAATAATAATTTGATAGTATAGAAATGTGCTAGATACCACCTTAAATAAGTGATCATGGTTAATGAAACATCTAATGCATTGAGAAGGTACATCATCCATAGCATCCTTCCCAATAATATGTATTCTCTATCTCATTATAAGAAAACATCAAACAAATATAAGTTGAAGAAATTCTACAAAATAACTGACCAGTATCCTTCAAAGTGTCGTGGTCACGACAGACAAGAATAGACCTGGCTGGAGGAGACGTGAGAACTGAACGCACTGGGGGATAATGGATAGGATCCTAGAACAGAAAAATATTAATTAAAAAAAACCTGGTGAAATCTTATTAAGTCAAGTTTAATTCATCATTTTTTAATGTTAATTTCTTTGTTTTGAAACTTTTACTATAGCTATATATGATGGTAACATTGGGGGAACAGGATGATTGGCATATGGGAACCCTATGTAGTATATTTGTAAATCCAAAATTATCTTAAAATAAAATTAAAAGTAAAATGTAGTTGTCTAGAGTCTAGTGTTATTTTTATATATCTCACAATTACTTATCAAATACCAGTGGAGGAAAAAAATAGGCTATTTTTCTCTAATCACCAAATAAACACTTCTCATGATTATTAATTTTGTGATTTATTGTAAACATATTTTATTGGTGGTTATTTTGGTTGAAATTTTAATAAAGGATTCAATAATAAAAGTGTAACAAACAGTGAAACCAAGGATAATTCAGAAAATTAAAACGGGAGCTGAGACAAATGCTCTATTACTGTGCTCTGTTTCCTGACGGTATCTCAGAGCTTATTAACTTTCTTCTGCTCTTTCCTCCTCTGTAGAAAGTGAATGTAGCCATCCATTTTCTCCTTACACATAAAGTGATTACAATCTCAAGCATGGCTGATAGGGTGCCCCACGTTCATGACTGTTCGGAAAATAGTAGCTACCCTGTTTCCCCGAAAATAAGACAGTGTCTTATATTAATTTTTGCTCCCAAAGATGCGCTAGGTCTTATTTTCAGGGGATGTCTTATTTTTCCATGAAGAAGAATACGGTACACATGTATTGTTAAATGAAAATAAAGGAAATTTATTACCTGAATACGGTACGGTAGTACGGTAGTTGTCAACACAAACCAGACAAACTGTGAATCCTACAGTATCAAGAATTTACTCATTTATTCAATGACAATCATGTCATCATCATCTGGAACATCATCATAACAATCCAATTCCTGAATTTCCTGCTGAATTTCTTGTGACTCCATTTCTTTCAGAATCAGTGGGCCAAATCTCTCTTGTTTAGCCTAGGGGGGCCTTATTTTTTTTTTTTTGGGGGGGGGGGGGATGCCTCATATTTCACTTAGAAGGAAACCTGTAAGTAGGTCTTATTTTCGGAGGATGTCTTATTTTCGGGGAAACATTGTATTAGATGCCAACTCACTGTGCATGGCGCCACCAACCTAATCCACTGGTAGCTTTACCTGGGGTTTTGCTAGTTGAGGTTAAACTGGTTATTGGCAGGTATAAATGCTATTCATTGGATTTATAATTATATGTTGTATTCTATATGCTTGGTATTATGCTGCCACATGCAGGTAACCAAAAATCAACATCACGATCTCTGCCAAAGAACTTCTACTCAATTGAAAGAAAACAAACATGAAAGCACTGTAGTGGGTGGAAAGAGCAGAGGCTTCAGAGGTTTTACAATCATATCCTCACTATCTCTCCCATTAATTACCAGATCTGTACCCTTGGTATTTATTTCAATTCCGAGTCTGTTTCCTTATCTCAATATAAGCTGCTAATGTCAGTCTTATAAGATTGTCATGATCATTAATATCTGGCACAGAGGAGACACTTAGTAAATGATAGCTGTTATCACATGCTTGTTCTTCAAACTGCTAAACCGTTAGAAAACATAATCATTTCCCAGCCGGCATGGCTCCATGGTTGAGCATCAGCCTATGAACCAGGAGTTCAGGGTTTGATTCCCAGTCAAGGTACATGCCTGGATTGTGGGCTCAATCCCCAATGTGGAGCATGCAGGAGGCAGCTAATAAATGATCTCTCATCATTGGCATTTCTATCTCTCTCTCTCCCTCTCTGAAATCAATAAAAATATATTTAAAAAAGAAAACACAATCACTTATTCTATTAAATAACTTTGTTCATTGAAATATTGGTAGATGCTCAGTCTTGGTGTTGTTTTTTTTCCCTTTAGAGATGATGAAGAGAAAAAAAAGTCTTCATCGGAAGGTACTGAGGAGAAGGCTAATGGAACACACCCAAAGACCATCAGTCGTGTCGGGAGCACTACCAACCCATTCTTGGACATTCCTCACGACCCAAACGCCGCTGTGTACAAAAGTGGGTTCTTGGCTCGGAAAATTCATGCAGATATGGATGGAAAGAAGAGTAAGCATCATTTGTTGTCATTTTCTATTTCATTTTCTTTGTCTTTAGGCTCAAAATTTAAACTGAATTTATATGAACTAAAGCCAAAGATGAAAGAAAATTTTGTTGATCTAGAAAAGTATTTTTTTTAAAGTTTGAAAAAAACCTCTAAACCTAAGACTGAAATTCACTGTGGCACTTGGTCTTCTCCAAATAGAATTATAGAACTTCAGAAATGGAAGACTTCTTGCAAATTATTCTTTTACTACTTTTTGTTCATTTATTCTTGCTTCCAACAAATAATGTTGGGTACCTACTATGTGCGAGGCATCAAAAAATATAGTAGTAATTAGGATGGACAAGGTCCCTTCTCCATGGCATTTACATTTCTGCTGGTTAAGGGAAAGGTTGAACACAAAGAATAACCAATGAAATAAAATCCTAAAGGCAAAATGGGAAGGGGAGAGAATCAAGAAATCCAAGCACATGTGGAAGAATTGGCCTTTAAGGAAGATGGAAAGGTGCAATGTAGGCGAACGTGGCATAGTTGGGAAACTGAAGGAGTCCCATCTGATGGCTCTGAAGTATGAGACATGAATATCTACTGATAGTGTTTGAGATTTGAGAGAAATGGAGTGTTTCCATGTTTAGAATAATGTTTACAGAGTGAAATATAATAGCAATTTGATATAGTTAAACAAGCTAAGAAAAGCTGATAATGATGCTAAAATTAGCAGGCTGTACCTCTACGGTGTCCCTCCCCACCTGCAGACACAGGTGCAATGGTGCAATGGGCAGTCCCACTGTTTCCATCTGTGGGCGCTTTTTCTTAATATAGCACAGTCTGCTAGGTTATAGTTAAGAGAAATATTGTCGTGGAGTGGCTTTGACATTGGCTTATGATGCTGAGCACATTTCTTCATATGTCCAAGTTCTTAAAGAGTGCCCCATCACATTCCCTGTGCATCCTCTACACTAACCTACTAGACCGCTCAGTTTTCTCCAGCGGCATTGTGTCAGGATACTTGGAGTAGCAGGTGACAATAGGTCCAATTAGCTTAGGGGAAAAAGGCCAGGACACAATTGAAGATGAAGTGTTGTCATTAGGACCCTTGAACCATTTCTGCATTATTTTGCACATCAGCTTGATTCTTTGAAACAGAGCTCTCTTACATGGCTGGCTACATGACTGTTAGCAGCACCATAGAGCATGTGTTTGGTTTTGTCACCAGAAATAATCTTTTTCATCCCACACTTTCCCAATGTAGCATATTCTGGGGCAGGACTCCGATTTGTATGACTGCGGGGATGGAACATTGTGAAATCATGCGATACCTTTCTCTGGCTGGCTTATTTTGCTTTTTCCTAATGTCCTTGAGCATATTTGTTACCTTTACAATAGCTCTTTTAAGGTCCTTCTCTTCTAATTATTTTCTCTTTGTGATATCTGGGATATTACATTGGAGAATAGTTGCTATAGTCGTTAATCTTTCATTGGCATAAGTAGAACTAAACTGGTTACTGATCTCTTTTGTTAGGAAATTTCTTTCTAATTGCCTTAGGCCTCAAGAGACTGAATATTTACTGAGCTGTGAAAGTGATAAGGAATTCTAAGGCTTCAAGTACAAACTCTTTAGATTTGTACTTGGACAATCAGAAAGGGATTTGTTTCCTTCCCCGCTAATCTTCTCCCTGTTCCCCCAGCCGTTTTTTTGGACTTTCAGTCCTATGTGGTTGAACTGGTCTATCTCTGTGTACCAGAATGCCTGAACTGCTTCTAAATGCATCTGCCTCTCTCTCTTTTGAGAGGTGGTCACTATAAGAAATTGAAATATGTTTTATATTCATGTCTAATGTGCTCTGAAATATAGTACTTTTATATTCAATATATTAAAAAATAAAAACTGTGGAGATTTCGTAGACCATGCGTTCCAAGTAATTTTTGAGAAGTCTGTGTAATGAAACCTTTTGGGAGTATTTATCCTGCTAAGTCTATAGACATTTATTGGGATTTGTCATGGTCGGTATAGGTAGAACTTATTGTCATTTGTACATACAGATAAATATGGCCAGGTTCTCTGATGACAGATATTACTAAAAGTTTTCAATCAGTGACGATTTGGGTCAAAACACTGTGGAGAAATTAAAAACCTGAGTAACTTATCTCTAAATAACCACTTGTCTCACTTAAGATTTAGTATCTTTTCATTATTTTAATTAACTCTAGTCTCAGTTTGTTAGATGGCACCCATCATTTCTCATATCAACATTTTAAAAACCTTGGAGGTTTTCTTTGCTTTGCTTTATTTATTTATTTAGCCTTTTGAAGATATGCTCAGTTCAGAATTTCTACCTCCAGGAGACAAATTATTATTAAAAGCAAACGTAGTTATCTCTCATAAAATCATGCCTACCTAACCCATTAGCTCTGACATTAAGGGAAAACTCTGAAGAGTCTAACTTGGCAAACAAAACGTGTCTTCTGGGTTTTTGTCAGATAGAATGAAAAATGAAATTCAATACAAGCTCTTAGTTTCACCAATCTGATGTAAGATACTTGTGGAAATCAATAGTGACAGGAAACAAGGTACTCAAAATATGAATGTTCTGAATGATGACAATAATAGTTATAATTAAGTGATTACTCAATATTAGAGCTTTATCTTAGCACTTCATGCACTAACTCATTTTATTACCACCCTATGAAACAGGAGTTATTATTATTACCACCAATTTACTGAGGAGGAAATCGATCTTAAATGTCTTATCCAAGGCTGTAGAATAACAGGGCATCTAGTGAAACTAAAATCTGGTTATAGCTAAGGAATTGTAGTATATTGTTAAAACCAATCACATGGAAGAATCTTACAAGCATAATACTGAATGAGAAAATCGACTTGCAGAAGAATGTGCATGCCTAACATTCTAAAGCATGCAATGCTGCTTTTAGTAGGAATGCCTTCACTGTGGAACAGCGGTGACCTCTGGCAGGGAGGAGCATGCGCTCAGTGAGGAGTACCCAGTGTTCAAACATACGTACTGATAGGGTTTTTTTAATTATGTTATGGTACATGCATTTCTGCTTTATTGCTCTTGATAATTTTTTGCTGACTTAATGCTTCATAATAAACTTCTAGAAACAATAGGATGCCTGATTGCATGGAAAATTTAGAAACAATTGAGGATATTTTTTCTGAAATTTGTGCAGGAATAATAACAAAACCCAAAAAACGAAAGCTAGTCATCATCATCATCTATATACTATTTTAAAATTTCATGACAATAATAGAATTTTGGTTGTTTTTCACACTTAGAAATGGGAAATATTTAATTATTGGGAGTTAAAACTGGTGAGGAGAAATGAAGGAAAGCAGGGAGAGAATGCCATTCCCCTGATCTTAAAAAGACAGTATAAATTGCCTGACCTAGGAAACAGATGTTGTTAGCATGCTCTGCTGAGGTAACCAAGAGAGATGCAAATAAAAAGCCGTACAGCTATTGGGAACATGGAAGGGAGTGGTTAAGCTTGCTAAATTCTCATGTCTCGCAATAGAAAATCACTAGATTTTACAATCTATTAATACAGTACCTTGTTTAGTGATATGATGAAAATTACCCATAGAAATAGCTCAAATATTAAAGTGCTTTCTTTTGTAAAATGGGAATAGAGGGATTGAGAGGAAGTGAATCAAAGAGTTAATTGCGTGGACAGACCACTTTAATTTTGACATATTTTAATCTCCTTACATTTCCAGTATAGATTCTTCAGTGATTTTTACCACACCTTGGATTTGTTTCTAATTTAAAATATCGAAGTGTTTATTGCTTTTTGAAGATGTGACAACCATATCTAGTTCATATTTCAATCTCTAATTCATATTTCAGTCTGGATCTAAGGCATGTTGGGCAGCATCTTGAGAAGGTTGGGAAGGTTCACTCATTTTATAGGGGTTTACAGACTTGCCTGTCAGTGAAAATTTTACAAATTTAGGCCCTCTTGTCAAATTTGAGGGAGTAGATGTTGTTCTGAGTCACACATACTGAAAATAGTTTTTAATGGCAATGCAGGCAGAATTCCATACTGTCGTGTAACACTAGGAACAGTGACACTATAATTAAGACATAGTAAAAGTGAAATAGGTTTGTTTTTCCCTCCAGAAGACAGTTGTCTCATCCTGGTAGAGAAAGACTCTTTAAATGGAGGCAAAGAGTTATTTTAAAACCAGGCTAAGGTCCCCCCTCCTCTCCACTTTGAGTTCTGTGGCAACGGGTCTGTACTGAAGCAGTTTAAGTTACTGATACAGTGTCACAGAGCAGCACCAAGAAGGCAGCCCTTTGAGTTCCCAAGTGGTTTTCCCCTTGATGGGCTAGTTTTGGTGGCATTTTATCTGTTTTCAATGGACAACACATCTTCACAATTCTACATTTCGACTAAAAGAATAAGCTTTAGATTTTTAAGTTTTATTTTAATAGTTCATGTCTTTTTTGTTGTTGTTGTTGTTGTTGTTGTTTTGTTACCTTTTATTGCCATACAAGAGGCCTGGTGCAATTCATGCACAGCAGGGCAGGTGGTCCCTTAGCCCAGCCTGCACCCTCTCCAATCTGGGATCCCTCTCAATCTGGGACTGCTGGCTCCTAACCACTGGCCTGCCTGCCTGATTGCCCCTAACCACTCTGCCTGACAGCCTGATAGCTCCTTAACCACTCCCTTGCTGGCCTGGTTGATGCCTAACTGCTTCCCTGCTGGCATGATTGTCCCTAATTTCCCTCCTTTGCCAGCCTAATTGCCCCCAACTACTTTCCCCTGTGGTGGTGAGGGGACTGGAGGGCTGAGGCTGGATGAGGTGGGGCTGAGGAGATGTAGGAACAGGCTGGATGAAGTGGGGCTGAGGAGACTGGAGGACTGGATGAGGTAGGGCTGAGGAGACTGGATGCAGACATCTTGTGGCTATGGGCACCGCCATCTTGTGAGGGCATGGCATCAATTAGCATATTTCCTCTTTATTAGATAGGATGTCAGC